TCATTGACACTTGCAGGATTTAATTAAGACATTCCAGTGCCCTTTGTATATCCCCAAGGGTCACACAAGCTGGCTGGACTGGATAATGTAACAGCTCTACAAATTCATGAACTTTGGATTCAACTGTAGTATGCGAAAACCTTGCTTAACAAAATTAAAATGTTCTTGACGCTAAGTGCTGTTCTGTGAATCATTTGGCCAATCCTGCTTCCTTAATTTACTCCTCTGTTCCACTGCCAGCAAGAAGAAGAATTGATGCCAGCACAAATTGTTGCCAGATGCAAAATAATGGAGTAAACCTCTGGAAGAGGATCCCAAGGATAAGTATAAATGCACTATGTCTTAACTTAATTAACCGAGAGAAGCACCACTATTTCATTCCTTTGTAACTGTAGAGAATAATAAACTCTCCTCCATCAGATTTTTGCCTGCAGCAGTTAAAAGGAATAAGGTCCACACTAACATGCTATGTCAAAGATCTTAATTTATTAGGGAGAAACCAGACCTATTTCTGGCAGCCACCGGGCACTGCCTCCTGGGGGCCACCACATTGTCACCTCCTCCCCTCTGGCCACTCTGGTTTGGAGTCAGAAGGGCTTTACAGGGTCCTCCTACCTACAGCCACTGCTCCCAGCACCAGTGCTCCCTGGGAATCATATGCCCTACCACTAAAACTTCTCCTCCTCAGCTCACCAGCATATCCCAGCCTAAACAATACACCCAGGACAAAATTAAAGGGATGAAACCAGGTATCCGCAACACAAAACAATAAAGTATTTATATCCCTCCAATTTACACACAACACTCCCTTTATGTAACGCTCTTGCCATTGCCAGAGCAATTTAGATGTCCACTGAAAACAAGATAACCCTTCTTAAAAACAGGTATGTTTTATGCACTCAGGGAAGAGTTACTCGGCTTTCTGCTGCTCAAACTGTACTGCCATCTCCATTCCCCTGGCCCATTAAGGCTGAAGGATCGGCAGAGCAGCAAGAGTTGAGCGTATTACGTCTGCACTTAAGGAACCACAATCCCATGTTTTGTTAGATCCTTTCAGGCTGCTGGGCACAGGAGGAGCGAGAGTGTTCCTTGTCAGCGTGAACATACTGAAGGCGTTTGAGAATGACAACCGTCACACCAAAGAAAAGGAAATTTAATAAAACACTTCCACAACCCAGGAATCCAGTATTTCACTACTATGAATGATTCCTTACTGTTGACTACTTATTTACTAGAGAGATCTTAAAAAGAACAATTTCACAGAAATAAAAGCCTGAAGAGATTCCAAAGGCGTTAATTTGCGGGAAAACAAATTAACAGATTTCACTAAAGAAACTGAGATATCATCTCAGCATTTGACGTGTTTCCATGATTCTACTGTTCTGACATTGTTAGCTGATAGTCCACAATCATACAAATTCTTTAAGCATGGAAAACCTTCACAATGTTCATATTTTAAAGCTACTTTTTAAGCAGTGGCTTATGATTTGTGGGAAAACTGCTCACCTGCAGGGTTAGAGGTTCAGTGTGAGATCTGCAGGAACTGTAAAGCAGTGCAGCCTCACTACCTGCCTACACCAGCTGAGAACCGAACCAGCAGCTGCACAAGCGGTTGAAGGACTCAAATGTGAGGCTCTAAAACATGAAGTTGATGAGGGCGGAGGAGGTTTGAAGGAACAGCAGGGTGTACAAACTCATCTCTGTGAGCGAAGTCTCCTCACATCTGCAATCTGTAGCTCAGGCACATATTTGCAAACTTTGGCAGTTCTGGCCGGGACAGGGGAATGGAAGATGGGTTTGACATTTGATGGATTTGAAAACCTGTGAGAATTGGGCTTGTTCAGCCTGGAGAAGGGAAGGCTCCGGGGAGACCTTATAGCACCTTCCAGTGCCGGGGGGGAGCTACAAGGAAGCTGGGGGGGACTTTTTACAAGGGCCTGTAGTGACAGGACAAGGGGTAACGGGTTTAAATTGAAAGTGGGGAGGTTTAGATTGGATATCAGGAAGAAGTTCTTCCCGGAGAGGGTGGTGTGGCATTGGGATAGGTTGCCCAGAGAAGCTGTGGATGCCCCATCCCTGGAAGTGTCCAAGGCCAGGCTGGATGAGGCTTGGAGCAACCTGGGCTAGTGGAAGGTGTCCCTGCCCATGGCAGGGGGGTTGGAACTGGATGGGCTTTAAGGTCCCTTCCAACCCAACCCATTCTGTGATTCTATGACACACTGCAGTTCTAACCCTTACCGTAATTACACCTGCGAGAGCACAGACACCAGGTCCCGCCAACGCCCGCAGGAAATCAGGGAGAAACCCTGAGTCACGCTTTTGAATAGTGCTAACAAACCGGGTGCCACTGAAGCTCATTAAGAATTTTGGTCACATGCACTCAGCTACTGAGATTTTGGCTCGCTGTAGGCATACGTAAAAAGCGCACTGTGGCCATCTGTAACTGCTTTAAGGGGGTAAAATTTCCACACAGAACCAGGAGTGTGTTTAATGCCAGAATGAAATAGCTGGAAAACACATTTCCAAATGTGGGGGTTGCTACTTATCATAGCCAAACCATTTTTTTCCCCCTGTAGTGTGATAGTCTCCTGTGGAAACTTCTATTTTCAAGCTATGGAAACAGAAATAGATTTTATAGGGCCAATTTATACTTTGCTTTTACCAAAGAGAGTCCTGAGTAAGATTAATACGTAAACATATGTAAATAGGTGCAGAATTTGACCCAATGAACTAAATAAATTCCTTGTGCAACATCACTAATACAGACAAGTTCATACATGTGGTGTATTCGGTCAATGATTTTTAAACTATGTTATCTCATAATGTGATTTATAGTGAAAAGGTTGAAGAGCTGCTAAACATATCCAAGTATATTTCCTGTAATTAATTCTACAGATGGAAGGAAAGCTTTTTAATGGTCTGGGCAGTGAAGCACTGAATTAGGATACTGTCCAAAACTACTGCCCGCTGGAACTGAGGGATGCCCACAAATCCCTGCCATGTCCCCTGCCCACGTGCACGCCACCTGTGTAATGCACACACAGTAGGTCTGCAAAAGGTTGAACTCGCTGTGCATTTGCTACCACCACAAGCATATATTCCCGTTTATATTTGGGCAATCACAGCCAGAAATATTAGCCAGACAAACATATATAGGAAACCTTTGATCCTGTCCTAGGCAAAACAAAAATATAGCATGATGCGGAGGTCTTTTCGATCTTATTTTCTAAGATTGCAGACTGGACATTAAAAAAGGAGTCTGTAATTTCTGAGAGAATACCCAGTGAAACAAGCCACTGCCATCTCTGAAACTCAGAAAGTATGGGACCAGAGCCAAGGGTTTCCCTTGTCAAAATGTCTCAAGGAAACAGCCTGAGGAAGGCTCATACTCCCAGGTATTCCCATACACGCTGTACCGAGCATCATACAAGCAAGTGCCTCTCAAACAGAGCTCTATCGCTCTTGTCCTGCCTTACGTCCTTTGCCACATTCCAGCCTGTGCCAATTAACCCTTCTACCTGGAATTCCAGAAAGAAAATCTCTGTTCGTTTCCCCAGTACACACTGTTGGGGGGCGCAGCAGCAGCAACTGCTGTGCTCCACACAGACGAGCAGGGGAACGATGTGTCTACAGAAACCGCTCCTGCTCACAGGGCTGGTGACTGGAAGCTGCTGCTACCATATGTCATCCTACTAGAATGCAAAAAACTCACATGCAGGTTGCAGTCTGGTGGAGTACAATTTACTAGTCGAGCTTGAACTGATTGAGATGATATTCCTTACTCCAAATCAATGTGGCCCATTATTACAATAGAAATTTATGCAGTTATAATACTACATCTGAGAAGACCGAGGAGTCACCAACTCACAGCCCAGCATCTGCGTGGCAGCACAGCAGGGCACAGCCCCAGCCCTGCTTCTGCCTGCTCCCTCCCACCCAGGGGCTACGAGGGGCTGCCACTCGGAGAATCCTATGAAAGGGAAATGCACTTCCTTGAAAATAAGAATAGAACCTTTGTGTATCTTTTTTTGGCAAGAAACACTCTGGAGATGCGGAGGAACGTTTTAGCCTTCCCCACATGCGTGAGTGCCCAGCCAGACCCTGAACTAGTTAAAACCATCACACAACCTAAAGATAGCTACAGCAATGAGTTGCAGGATGTATCACTTGTGATACAGCCACAGACCACGGGCAGGACAGAGTTAAGAGAAAGCCTCAAGTCATTCTGATGCCAAGCCTGCACCTCTTGCCATTGTACAGTCTATTACATGCTAAAAGCAGCTCTGTCAACCCAAGAGACGCTCGTCAATTTAATTTTGATGAATAGCCCTTTGGCCGCACAGAAGTAGTAAATATTAATGACTACCCTTGAGCTTGCTATGACAGATCAGAACACATTATCTGCCTTTCTCTGGAGGAATGCATGCACCTCTCCTGTTCCTCCTGGATATTGACTGGATATTGTCAATAAAAACTAAACGAACTCTTCAAACAGCCATACCTTACTGTGCGTTTTCTCCTCTACCATCTAAGCACCATATTCTAAACCCGTAAGCTTTCCGCTACGCGTGGCGGGGGAAACCGTGCACTTGTGGTGCTCCGTACCTCCATGCCAGCAGCACACATCCACCCCTCATGGCCATGGGCAATGCCATGACGTGAATTCACCGAGCACTCACCTCCTTCCTCCCTACAGCTTCGGGCAGCTCTCCACCTGGCCTGCCACCGTGACAACAGAGGAGGTATGCTCTCACTGGGCAATGGGCAGCTTCCCTTTTTATAGGGAACATAAAATGTTCTATGCCCTGCTCTGTGCATGGCAGAAAGAAGGGAGAGCTGTCACAGGGACACATGGGAGGGTCTCAGGCAGAGAGCTGTCTCATCCCAGGACAGTCGTGGCATGAGGAAATTATAAAAGACTCAGAAGGAAAAGCCAGAGAGGACAGAGAAAGGAATTACGTGGAAACTTGAAGTGAGAACAAAAAGAAGAAAGCCATGTCTGGTTTTGCTAGTTTAGTAGAAGGGGACCAAGAGGCACACGGGTCCCTCAGTCCTGAGGGTGAGACCAGCAAGTGGCATGGAACAGACCACGCAGCGACCCACGCAAAAGGAAACACAGAAATTATCCAGGAGCAGAGAGAGGAAGAACAAAAATCCATTGCTGCCACTACATTAACCTGCAATAAAACCCAACTGACCTGCCAAACAAGAAGACAACAGCTGTCTGTCACCTGTTAACCACCAAAAATGCAGGAGTACATGAAGCATAACCCTCAGCATCACCCCCAAGGTGCTGCTTTAGGGGCACCATAACCTCCAAATCCTTGGGTAGATTTTTCCTAAAAGCTGACAGGCATCATAACAAGAACAGAACTTCAAACCTGTGCATCTTTATTTTAGGTGGTCATGGCAACTTTATTTCAGGCCGTAATTCTCTTTGTAGGAAGTTTTGGTGAGAACCGACGCTTTGAAAGCTCTTTGATAATTTTTAGCACTGTATCACTGGAGGAGATCATGATCAACTGAGATTCTGTCAGCCACCTTTGCTACTCCCTGGCAACTTCACTACATACCTAAAGAAAAGATTCCACCCAGTAACATTTAATGAGAAGGTAACCAATATTTAGCTGTAGGAAAAATAGGGCAATGAAATAATAAAGCTGCAGGACCTTCTGGGGTCCTGGACCACGCAGAAAGCTTTGCTTAGCCTCAGGTAGAAAAAGTGGAAAAGAACAAAAGGATCCAAGCCCAGGAGCAGAATAATCTATAAGGTGCTTATAAAATTATAAAAAGAACTAATACATACCTCACTGACCATGCAAATGGCATACGGTACTTCCCCAGCTTGTTACAGAACTGTTTATTGGATTTTAACACTTTCTGTGCACACTACAAAAAAGAATATGAATTATTTCATCAGTATAATTATAATATCTGAAATACAGCACAGAGTGCATCCAAGTACTCCACTGCTGAAGAAGCTAGTGTCCCTAAAATAATTTAGCCTGATAGTGCCCATTACAGAAGGTTCTGGGTGGACAGCAAAGACGTCACAGATGAATGTGATGCTGCTGCTGAATTAAATCCCTTCTACACCCCTTCGGTCAGAACCGCGTTAGTTACAGTTCTTATTCCGGTTGTCTGTAATATACCCCGTGCAGATGCACTGCCTGCTGTGACAGAGAATCAGGTGCCTATCTCAACTTTGCTCATACATGAAGTGCATGAACTCCTAGTTTCTAAAAGACAGCAGACAGAAATTCTCTTTGAACAAAGACATAAATAGCATGGGAGTGCAGCACGAATGGATTCCTGTGTTGCAGCAAAAAAGGTACTTTCAGTGTAACTGACTGAAAACATCTACCATATTGCAATGGGTTGCCATACGTAAAGATTTGATCTTCCTGAAGTCAGTGGAGCTTGGACACTTGCGTTCTGAGGCGGGGGCCTCCTGTGAGCTCGTCCCGTCCAGCAACCACACGCTGGTGAGATTTCTGAGCACAATTTGCAATGTCTTCAGCTTCCAAAAGGGTGAAGTTGACAAAGAGGGAACTGATGTTCCTGTTACATTACCTTAAAAGAATCAGGATTCTTAATGTAAGGTTCAGCACTGCTGGCAATATTTCCTGTAAGCACCTTTTCTATTTTTGCCACTAATACGATCTCAGAATGAGGATTACTTATGGAAAAAAGAGCCTGTGGATAAAAGAGACAGTAGTTAAAAAGTGTATAGCAATACTGGAGAAATGAAATACTGCCAGTGCTCTCTGTTGATGGAAACAACAAACCACATTCAGAAAGGATTATTGGGGATTATCATCCCTATGTATTCAATACAGTCAGACGGAAAATGAAATCTTTGTGCTAGTGCTGAGGTAAGCTTGTGCACATGCAGCACCCTGCAAAGACACTGACTCGAGTCAAGAAGCAGTACGAGCCCTTCAGCATCCCCTAACCTACCTGTTCCTCTCGGACAGTACTTAAATGCTATCAGGGAGAACGACAGGGAGAAAATAAGGTAATGTACGGGGTTCCGGGGTAAGCCAACAGCAAGTACGTGGAAGTACTTTGAACTTAACGCAGCATCTTGATGATCCTTGAAGTTGCCAGTTTGTTTGGCCAGTTTGGGAGAGGTCAGCAAGTGAACCCAAAGAGCACAGGAAACATGGGCTGTTTCTCTAAACAGCAGAAACTAACTTCTTCTCAAAGTTTTGATTGTAAATGGTTTTAAAGTCTGTCAAGGGAGCTCAAACATCAAGCATCTGTACACAGGTACCACTGATACACAGAGCACTCTCAAAAACAAGAACCACTGGTAGCACAGATAGATTCTCAGATGGAAATGAACGCTACTACTGAACTAAACCAAGTCACATGAGTCAACGTTGTGTAAGTCACATGTGGAATACCTGTTTTGGGTATTTCAGCCATTCTTCTGGGAACCCCTTGACCTGTGGTTCTTCGATTTCATTTGAGTCAATATTTTCAACAGTGCCATTTTCTAATGAGAGCAAAGAACCAGAAATCATCTGTCTCACGAGTGTGTGGTTCAAATCCACATGAAAATCAGCAGAGATCTTCCTCCCATCCCTGACATCATACAGTGCCACGCTCACAAAGAAAGGCTCTACCTGGAGAAAAACACAGAAACATTCCTTTTTTTTTTTTTTTTTGAGGCATTTAAAGGTAGTTTGTTAACAATGTGCCAGAAAGGTAATGGACAGCTAACTTAGAAACTTGCAGAAAAAAAACACAAACCCATTTGTTACAGATTAAATGAACAGAGCCCCAGAGAAACACGTTACAGGGTTTTTAAAACGTACATTCAGAGTCACTATAAAAGAAAGAACAGCAAGGGTGGGCTTTCCAGGGGTCGTCAGAAATGCGACACAAAGATGACAAATTTAAGTAGATGGAAAATGTTTACTGGTACAGACAGAAATGGGTGGGTGTATTATTCTGTGGGAAACACACGTTCCATTTTGCTAGGAAACCGAGAGCATTCAAACTACTCTGACAGTACCCACTTATTCTATTGTGTAGTAGCAGGGAATTAAATCCTGTGACTGTAAGTAACCTCCAAATAGCCTCCATAGTTCTGCTGAAATAAATCAGTCTCAGAATAAGATTAACCAGCTGGTGGTGACACCTTCTGAGCTGTCCAGAAATCAGAACCTTAAACCCTTGGAGATAAGGAACAACACATAGCAGGTATAAATATATATATTTTATGTTTCTTCAGCCTCTGTAGTGAATTTTCACATGCCCTTGGTACAGTCATCGTGACTTCATTTAAACAGTTATTCCAGTCTGCCAAAAAAAGTATTGATTACATTATGCTAAATACGCACTCACCGTAGAGGTCATCTTCAAATGAAAAAAAACCAACCAACCAAAATTAATCAATGCCTCCTATGTAATATATGAAAGTTCAGTTGCCAGGACACTAGTTTCTCAAAAATTTCCTGCTTCAGAGGAGAGCTAACTAAAAGGTACGGACTTACAGCTACAACTCATCTTTTCTTAAAAAAAGAATAAGCAAAATTGTCTGCTTTGTCCTTCTTTTAGCTGGGCTTTTCCACTGATGGAACATTCAGTCCTTTCTATTTTGCTTTCTCTTCTGTAATTTAATCTGCTTGTTTCTGGTCTCTCTGAAAACCCAAAAAAACAATTCACCAGTCACACATACTCAGTTGCCCCCCTACGTAGGTCTCAGCAGAATAAATTTCTTATTCTTACAGCAATTAAGACCCCTCAAGGATCCTAACACTTCTGATTTCCCATTCAGCTGTAGCTAAGTCTGCAGTGTAAATCAGCTTCAAAATGTTTACTGAAAAGGTTCCTCAGTTTCATTATTCAAACCAAAAGGATGGGAAGAGGAGGAGTGAATGCAGTAAGTGTACATGATGCAGCTTTTATTTTACCTCCTTTTACCACAGTAAATGCACAGGGAGAGGAGAAAAAAAGAGAAAAAAACCACTGGGAAATAAGCAAAGCTTACATTGGTTGAAGGATCGTTTTCATTTTCAGTAACACAGGCCTGGAGATTCAAATTGAGAGATTTGCAAGTTATCAGGATCCTCTTTGCAGGCTTTTCCTCAAATGGCTTCATCACCGAGTTTGTCCCTGGAAACTCCTTTTTCTGAGGATTCAATGACTGAAATAAGTGGGGTGATTCGTTATATACGGGAAAAGCATGGCAATCCAAAACTAACAAGCTTTTTAAAGGTTTTCACTAGAGAGAGCTCCCCCCACCCTTCGAAGCTGAAGCCTTGGACATATCCAGTTGCTTGTTGAACTCCAGTCCATTCCGGTGGCTTAGCTAACCCAGTTAGCTCACACCACCTGTATTTTAAAACTTCTAAGAATCTGAAAAAACCCCAATCACTTACTGCTATATCAGGATCCAAAGAGAAAAGGTTTAGTCGCTCCATATTTCGAGAGGCTTTCACTGTTTCTTCTGTTTCTGTGGTGTACTGTGGTGACAGATAATAAATTAGTTTTCTGTACAAGAACAGAAATCCATAGTTATTAGACTTCTGAATGAGTGATCAATGTTTCACTTGTAACAACACTGCTCATTACTGCAGTAGTGATCCCAAAGTACCTCAAGTGCTCTTTGAAGGTTATATGCTTGTGAAGCAGGGATTTTCAGGCCATGATATACTTCTAAGGAACCCCAAAATAGATCAATTAAGTAATTCAAGTCTATATAGTTACTAAAGAATCCACTGGGTAAGATGTCAGAATGGTGGATCACTGCACTAACGCCACTTTAGGGATTCACATGTCAAGGAAAAAATAAAAAAACCCAACCCAGCCCCACAGAAACCCACTTGTGTCAGTGGGAGGGCAGAAATGGAGGCAGCAAAGTGCAGCTCAGCCTTTTGGGTGAGCAGACACACAGACCGCAGTGTAGCCCTCTCCCCACCCATCCCTCTGCCACAAGGCAGCAACAGTCACACCAGTTTTATTTCTGACAGACACATGCTTCAAGTAACAATGAGCTCTCAGATAAAACCGACTCAACAATGTCCTGAAGCCACCTGGAGCTTTCCTGCCCTGTTTTTTAAAAGTCTACCCTTGTGTCTAACTTTGACAACATTTCCCCTGCTATTTACACCCATCATCAGCACGTGAAGTACAGCCCACATGTTCCCTCATGATATTTATGAAACCTTGAGTGCACCCTCAGCAAGTTT